ATTAAATGTGAAAAATCGCGATTTAAAAAAATGATGGGCTAACTTCACGGCGCCCATCATTTTTGAAAAAATGTACTTTTTTTGGGAGTTCTGAATAGATTAACAATAGTTCTAGAGTTCTCTGTACTTTTTATCAATAGTTCCGGTCATTATCCGCTTGAAAATAAAGTTTGAAAAAATGCGTCAGCCCACCATCTTTTAGAAAATCGAATTTTTTTCAGTGTTCTGGATAGTTCTCAAAGAGTTCTAGAGTTCCCTATAGGTTTTTGGTACAATACATATCCAGATTTCGTCAAAAAATCATTTTGAAATGAGTATTTCAAAAAATCAATCGTATAAAATCCGATACTCCCAAAATACTGGATAGATTAATCAAGTTCAGGTATTTGTTTTGTAGAACTCTTTTAGAACTACCCAGAACTCCGGAACTCTTCATTTTTTTTTCCGAATCTACCCTACTAGCGCTGGATAATTTTCAAAGTCCCAGAACTCTTTCAATTTTAATTTCTCAGCTTTTTGTCATAAAAATTATCGATAGAACTCTTTGAGAACTATCCAGAACTCCCATCAGAACTCCTGGAACTCTTCATTTTTTTTTCCGAATCTACCCTACTAGCGCTGGATAATTTTCAAAGTCCCAGAACTCTTTCAATTTTAATTTCTCAGCTTTTTGTCATAAAAATTATCGATAGAACTCTTTGAGAACTATCCAGAACTCCCATCAGAACTCCTGGAACTCTTCATTTTTTTTCTCCCTCGAACCTACCCTACTTGCTACGCAGAATGTTCGAAGTCACATAACTCTTTTAATTTTAATTTCTCAGCTTTTTGCCATAAGAATTATCGATAGAACTCTTTGAGAACTATCCAGAACTCCCATCAGAACTCCTGGAACTCTTCATTTTTTTTCTCCCTCGAACCTACCCTACTTGCTACGCAGAATGTTCGAAGTCACATAACTCTTTTAATTTTAATTTCTCAGCTTTTTGCCATAAGAATTATCGATAGAACTCTTTGAGAACTACCCAGAACTCCCACCAGAACTCCTGGAACTCTTTATTTTTTTTTTTCGAATTTACCCTACTTTCGATGGAGAATCTTCAAAGTCCCAGAACTCTTTCAATTTTAATTTGTCAGCTTTTTGCCATAAGAATTATCGACAGAACTCTTTGAGAACTACCCAGAACTCCCATCAGAATTCCTGGAACTCTTTATTTATTTTTTTTTTTTCGAATTTACCCTACTTTCGATGGAGAATCTTCAAAGTCCCAGAACTCTTTCAATTTTAATTTGTCAGCTTTTTGCCATAAGAATTATCGACAGAACTCTTTGAGAACTACCCAGAACTCCCATCAGAATTCCTGGAACTCTTTATTTATTTTTTTTTTCGAATTTACCCTACTTGCGATGGAGAATCTTCGAAGTCCCAGAACTCTTTCAATTTTAATTTTTCAGCTTTTTGCCATAAGAATTATCGACAGAACTCTTTGAGAACTACCCAGAACTCCCATCAGAATTCCTGGAACTCTTTATTTATTTTTTTTTTCGAATTTACCCTACTTGCGATGGAGAATCTTCAAAGTCCCAGAACTCTTTCAATTTTAATTTTTCAGCTTTTTGCCATAAGAATTATCGACAGAACTCTTTGAGAACTACCCAGAACTCCCAACTAATTATCTTTTTCTTGAACTTTTCTCCTCGTATTGCTTGCCTCATTTCTGTTTATCGTTACTCAAGTTAGTCAAAAAAAAAAGAGTTCCAGGAGTTCTGGAAAGTTCTCAAAGAGTTCTATCGATAATTCTTATGGCAAAAAGCTGAAAAATTAAAATTGAAAGAGTTCTGGGACTTTGAAAATTATCCATCGCAAGTAGGGTAGATTCGAAAAAAAAAAAAAAATTAAGAGTTCCGGGAGTTCTGATGGGAGTTCTGGGTAGTTCTAAAAGAGTTCTACAAAACGAATACCTGGACTTGATTAATCCATTCAGTATTTCGGGAGTATCGGATTTTATACGATTAATTGTTTTTTGAAATACTCATGTCAAAATGATTTTTTGACGAAATCTGGATATGTATTGTACCAAAAACCTATAGGGAACTCTAGAACTCTTTGAGAACTATCCAGAACACCGAAAACAATACGATTTTCTAAAAGATGGTGGGCTGACGCATTTTTTCAAATTTTATTTTCAAGCGGATAATAACCGGAACTATTGATAAAAAGTACAGAGAACTCTAGAACTATTGTTAATCTATTCAGAACTCCCAAAAAAAATACATTTTTTCAAAAATGATGGGCGCCGTGAAGTTAGCCCATCATTTTTTTAAATCGCGTTTTTTCACATTTAATAGACAGAACTATTTCTAAAAGTCATCAGGAACTCTAGAACTCTTTTGCGGGCAATCAGAACTCCAACCATTTTTTTGAAATGAGCATAACGATGGGCTAACTTCACAGGGGTGATTTACGCGCACTTGAAAATCTTTGACACGTCACGAGGTACCTGCGCCATATTAGCTCTTCCAAGACACGGTCTACATTTTTTATTAGCTCGGAACTTCCCATTGGCAGACTCCAGTCTCGAGACGGAATTACAGAGGCGTTTGATTTATTATTTCATAGACCATAACAGACGCATCGGGCATTTTCTGGGTCAGCTTGATAATACTCGTATTACAGATACCTAGTCGACGTACAATAAGTGTGACTGAACCTTTTTTTTTTTAATCGATTAATTAAAAAAGTATGACCAGATTTCTGTGTTACACGAGAGACAATAGTATTGGCGTTGCTCATGAAATTATTTTTTTTTTATTTTTTTTTTATTTTCTATCCCAACGACTTTCTACACGCAGAATCACTCAATGCATGAGCTTATTAAAGAAAACGAGAACATTACGTGCTACGTGTTTCTTTCAAACGGCTGGAACGCGTATTACGGGCACGCTGCTGTGTTTATATGGCAATAGCGAATAATTTCGCAATTTAGCATAGTGGGTCAGTTAATGCGTGATGTACACGCGTTCAATGACGCAGTGTACGCAGTTAACGCGCACGCTAGCTATCTCATTAGTACTCGGGATGATATATGCGTCATGGGGTACCAAATACAATAAAATTAATTTCCTGATTTTATACGAGCTACACATTATCCCAGTCTAACCTCCATTTTCAGAGCGAAAGCAAATCTTCCCAATGATGAGGAATGATTTTAACACGGTTATCGAAACGAAACGTCAGTTCGAAATTATCGATGACTAATGCATATCGATTGTCATTCTTGTTTCTCGAAATTTTTAATTCTCAAAAACGACACGAAAATATTCCCACGAAATTCATTTCTGCCAAATTTATACGGCGGCTTGCTTCGCGGTATTAGGAAAACATGTTACATTTTTTTTTCATTCGCATTCTGGACTCCACATATTGATGTGCAATGTGTTTTATCAATATTTATTCGTCTCTCCTTGGGCGCCGTTAGAGTTTATACAGTTATTATTACTATATATGGCGTCTATCGCTACAAACGTTCGCCGCTTACATCCTGTGCCGGATATCCGTTTTGTCGATTTGTCTTATCAAAAAAGTCAGAGAACATTAATATCGTGTCTGGTGTTATCAATCTTATCGAAGTTTATCTCGTAATGTACTGTCACGAGTACTGTCAAACTTCGATGTTTGAATCTAGTTTTCTTAATTCATGTAGGCATATGTGTATATATGTATACACAACTGGGATATGTATAATTTAAATAATATTTAACGCAATCGACAGTTTATATTAAAATATTAGATTATTATCTGTCGAAAAAAAAAAAATCGATTTATCCTCGATTAATATTCTTCTGTCTTGCCGTGCTTTTTTTTTATCTCAAAAACAAACACAATCACGACCACGTAATCGATCTCGAGCTCTCTACTCTCGGTAGCCACACTGCCTGCAGTATGATATTTCGCTCGTACTTAATATTTTTTTTTTATCATAAATCCTGGATATTCCCACAAGCAAAATACACACGACCTACATTATCGATGGTGCATAATTGTATATTTATGAATTTCAATATGTGGTTTAACGCACGTTAAACATTCGTGATGATAATAAAAAAAAAATTTCGTCAATATTCCAAGCTGCAAATTCAAACTGTAACCCGTTTCGGATGATCCGAAAAATTTGCGGCGGGCTCTACGATAAATGATATCTGAATAGTATAGCAAGTAATGTTCAGTTAACGTGAAACGTCGCATTAAGAACCGATCGATAAATGCAGATACACGTAAAACGCATGAGCGAAGGTAAAGGTTGCGCGAATTATTTTTGTATTGATAGACTGATTGTACAGTCGGGAACACGCTGGGACGTTAGAACATAGCTAACGTAAAACCGGGTTAATGCGAAAGTGCATTAGAGTTCATTAAGCTTCCTGACCCCGGACCCTTTCGCATAAAGGGCACTTTGTTCCTAATTGACGGAACACATAGATAATTGCCAACAGTTGCGGGTTGCAGGTGCGCATCCTTCGTGGAATTTCAGGCTGATAAATTTTTACTTGGTCTATATATATGTATATTGTATATATATATATATATATATATATATATATATGTATAGTCAAAGAGAACTATAGATGAATGATAAAAAGAAATAGAGATCGTAAGCCGTCGAGTTACTTTATCATACCAGTAACAGTAGCAGTTTTTGAAAAACTATAATTAACGAAAAAAAAAAAAAAAAAAAAAAAAAAAAAAAAAAAAAAAAAAAAAAAAAAAAAAAAAAAAAAAAAAAAAAAAAAAAAAAAAAAAAAAAAAAAAAAAAAAAATTCGACTAGGTAGATGCAAAAGTTATAACTTTTGACCGTAAAATCAATTTACACGAATTTTCAACTTTATTGGATATCGATAAAATCCAGATAGTAGAAAAAGCACTGATTTAGAACGAGATTAAATAAATGAAAAATTGATTTTTTTCTCTCTCATCCTATCAACCCCAAAGAGGCGCATACACTTTCATCCTCCTCGTTTACGAGATTTTCCAGTTCGATTTTCCACCTCACCCTTCAACCCCATTTCATTTTTCCCATTTCCACGAAATCTTACCTCGATCACCGAAATTCACTGCTTTCCTCCTCCTTTCGCGTAAATATCGAAAAATTAATTTCTCTTCCCCCCCGTCGAGTTTGATCCAATGAAACGGGAGACTTTGGAATTTACCGATAATCGGCAATCGAGCATCCTTCCGATATTATTTATTATCCAGTGCGACGTCGTCGGCGGGAAACCGGAAGTACGACTTTGCCAATCGCACTCGTCCAAATGCACTTAGCCGTCTTAGGTAAGTGCACAAATTAAAATTCAATACGAGGATTCATCGAATCGTGAGATTTTAATAAATTATCATATCAACCTTCAACTTTCCTCCAATATAATTTTCTCACCCCCTCACTTCGCTCAATCTCGAAATTAAAATCTTACCACAAAATTGTGCATATACACTTTTCCAAAATATCTCCTCCCATAATTCCCAATTTCATTTTTTATCAACATACGGGAATACTCGTACTGTCACGACCAACTCGTCAATGGATGATCAAAGAGGTCCAAAAGTTATCACGCAAACATTTCATCCAACTACACCACATATGGCAACCTTGTATCTTTGACACGCCTTGGTACACACATTATGGTAAAAATGAAAAAAAAAAAAAGAAGAAACAGGTAAATCGACACGAGCGCGCACGAAAGATACACAAACGAATCTATCGTAGAACGTGCTAGAAGCGTGCCTAGTCCCGCGTACAAGATTGTAGCGTATAATGACGTCAACGGAGTTCAATCAAAGTACATACCGAAGATTGGTCAGTGATTCTCAACCGATTAAACTTTGACTACGTAGTCTGCAACGACGACCAAACGCGTTCCGGTACCTTTCGGATAGCCGTTTAGATCCTCTATAAATAGCAAACCGCTTGGATAACCATACCGTACAGGCACGTTGTCAAAGTCATGGATGAAACGGACGCGACAGATGTATTAATTAGTATGGCAAGCTCCCCGCTAATAAATTTCATCGTGGGAAATCAATAGCGATTTCCTCATAAACACATTAGGCCTCTATAACAGTGGTTCTATACGTACTCGTTGCATTACTATATCGATCATCGAAAGTTTTACGTGTCTGGCGTGTGTTACGAATTATTATTATTATTATTTATATATATATATATGGTGTACATTCTGGGTCAAATCTACGACCCCATATGTCTACGTCGTTCGTACTTTTTATTGAGATGTATTTTCAATGCCTCCAATTTACCCTTACGCAACTGGAATCTTTTGACGCTTTGACTGCTGAGATTTTATTGAACGTCCATTTTATTTTTTTGTAAATTTTTTTACGGTTCGTTATTATTATTATGTTGATGATCAGTCATTGGACTGAGATTGTGAACTTACGACTGTTGACTTTGGATATACAGGGTGAACCACGAATCGTGATCAGTAGAGATTACTTTGTTATTAGCAGTCCGATCGAATATGTTTTTATCAGCTTTTGCATGGTTTTAAGAGAGCTTTAACGTGATAGTGAAAAATTACTGGTCAACTCTTTTTTAAAATGTTTTTTCAAGGTTACCTTGAATTTTTTGTAACTGAACATATCATTTTTGTACGCCTGTCTGTTAGAGGATTTCAAGACGAATTCGGCACATGTAAGGACATGGTATTCTTTACATCTGGATTGAAAGAAAATTAAAAAACTTTGTATCACAAGGAGAATCACAGCTACGCCGTTATTACGCATCCAATGTTGTTGACAAGTCAAAATTTACCAATCTTAATTGTAGCGATGTTCAAAATGGTGTCCACGAGCTGCAATGCACTCGCGTAGACGGTGAACAAAAGATTGTTTTGCATTCTTTATGGCCTCTCCTCTACACTGATGGCGACTGAAGACGACAGAATGGATGCGTATAACGGCGTAGCTGTGATTCTCCTTGCGATACAAAGTTTTTTAATTTTCTTTCGAACCGGATGAAGAAAATGCCATGTCCTTACATGTGCCGAATTCGTCTTGAAATCCTCTAACAGACAGACGTAAAAAAATTATATGTTCAGTTGCAAAAAATTCAAGTTGACCTTGAAAAAACATAAAAAAAAGAGTTGACCAGTAATTCTTCACTATCACGTTAAAGCTCTCTTGAAACCATGCAAAAGCTGATAAAAACATTTTCGATCGGGCCGCTAATAACAAAGTAATCTCTACTGATCACGATTCCTGATTGACCCTGTATGCATATGTAAAAATAAGGTGATTTTTTATTAGTCGTAATTGGCGATTTTTTACTTTTTTTAGACTTTTTTGTCCTTGTATATTTTATCGGTAATTAAAATCTTTTGGGTTCGATCTACCTTTTTTATTGGATAAATCGTTTTCTGAAGTACGAAGCTATGATCGATTTCTTAGATAGCGACTTGCTGGTCTACTTCGTATAGCTTTTACGATTTTCACTTTTATAAGGTTCAGTGAAAATTCTCGCCGTTGATGATAAGACATTGTTTCAGGGCGTTTCCGGGTAATCGAAAAACTTTTCCGACTCGAGTTACCGAGAGACGAGTTACGTACTTTAGTCTATAGAGAATTTCATAATACGCTGATTATGGTATGGGATCGTGTACGAGCGTGGACATTGCCATTACGTAAGGCCGTATTAAACTAATGAATAATTGTTTGATAAATTTTTTAACAAGGATTTATATGAAAAGATTCATGCGAGCGTGTCGAAAACTTTTAAATACGAACAGAAGTTACATTGTATTGTCTTTACATTGTATTTTAGCGATTATCGGTAATGAAATTATCACGGAACATTGAATTTCAGTAAATAATTTTCATCGGCTTTTAAGTGAACCTCGCTGAGCCGTATTTAGTACCGTGTTAAAAAATTTCGAAGTCTACCTCAAATTTTGAAAGAGCACGTGTCAAAAGAACGTAAAACACATTCTGAGTAAATATTTCTTTATTTTATTTGTTTCCCAGATGAAAACCAATCTATCGTCCTATAGTCTATTGGGCGTTAATGGGTTAAACGACGCCCAACTCAAATTGACATTCATTTCTTGATTCATCCAGTACGCTCGCGTTGTTTACCGCGACTGGATCGCTCACGATTTTCATGAGCGACTCATGGATAGTTCTCAATTGAGCTGGCTTCGTGAAAAATTATAAATCACTTTTAAATCTCGGCGAAAATTCATTCCGCCAATATTCAGCCACTGAACCAACTGCAAGATACTCATTATGCCCCTTTAGTCTTATACCGATCCTCGAAATCGTTACAGTTTTCATCTTGAAAGAGAGAGAAAAAAATTGGAAGCTGCGCGACGAACTTTTTGCTTCGTTACAAACCGTATACCCTGTGTACCAGTTTAATTAGTGGCAACTTACCAAAACGTTCTGTTAAAAACAGACCTTCGTTATTTGATTCTCGTAATTCGTTTGTTCGCAAAAATTAAATACAGTTTAGCAAACGACTGAGAACCACGTAACTGTATACGCGTGGCGAGGCATTTAAAAAAAAAATAAATAAAAGATTACGATCGCACTCGATAATATGATACGGGTAATTATTATTTTTTTAATTCTAAAAAAAATTACAACAAAGAATTTCGGATTCCATCTTAATTTTGGATGACGACTTCGTTCGGACCTGCTTCAATCTTATCTAGGCATATAGATACGCAGCAGTCTTAACTAATCTCGACAAGAAGACCAAACTTCGTTACTCCATACAGGCTATGGCCGCTAAGAGTATCGCAGTGTCTGCCACTTCGCGACTACAACCAAGTTATTCCTCGTGCTGTGCAATTTACGTAAATTTATGACGTAGTGGAACGTCTGCAGTACCATTTTTAGATGCGACTATACATACGCGGAATATGGACGCCAAGTATCTTATGCATTCACTGTGCGTAGGTACGAGCTTACGCGTGCAGGCTCAAGAATTCCATGGTCATACCTTAAAGGATTTTTTAAATGACTGACCATGCAAATTATTCGAAAAAATGTACACGTAACCTCTTTGTATTTGCGAACTATCTTTTTTCTTCTGTCTTTGAAATTTTCTTTTATCCCTTCCCCTCGGGCGGCCTTTCGCTCTGTTGCACCGACGCTTGTCTACGTCAGAGCCCTATGCCTCCTCTATTGCTATCACTTTAATTGCACGCTCTTCGTGACTTCGCGCTCGATAAACATCGTATACCTCTCGAGCGAGTTAGCGCACGATAGAATGAGGTTTCTTTAGATTTTTGACCTTTTATAAAAATTTCATACCGTTCAATTGCAGTGGGGAAGCTTCGAATCCGACATCTCGGATACTGCCGATACAAATGAGTTAGGGGCCACAGAGGGCCCCGAATCCTTCATAATGGACACCGTGGACAGCGTGAGTAAACGGCAGGCTACGCGTGTCTTCAAAAAGTCCAGTCCCAATGGCAAGATCACGGTTTACCTTGGAAAACGAGATTTCGTCGATCACATCACTCACGTGGATCCGATCGGTAATGTGAAAGTTGATAAAAAAATTCTTTTTTTTTTTTACAATTTACATTGTCACGTGATATTAAATTTTTTTATTCATTCTGCCGTAGACGGGGTAGTCCTCATAGATCCGGATTACGTAAAGGATCGCAAAGTCTTCGGCCACGTGTTGGCGGCCTTCAGATACGGCAGGGAGGATCTAGACGTACTGGGACTCACGTTTAGGAAAGATCTATACCTGGCAGCGGAACAAATTTATCCAGCGATACCCGGTTCGCAGCCACCCAGGACACTGACGCGTCTCCAGGAAAGACTGGTCAAGAAATTGGGCCGCAATGCGTTTCCGTTTTACTTCGAACTTCCGCCTCATTGTCCGGCGTCGGTCACGCTGCAGCCGGCGCCCGGCGATACCGGCAAGCCGTGCGGCGTCGATTACGAATTGAAAGCGTTCGTAGGTGAGACGCAGGACGACAAACCTCACAAACGGTACGATAATGCGTAAAATGTGAAATTCAAATTTGGAGCAAACTTTTTTTTTATTTCTTTGCGCACCCGCGGACTTTTTATCACCCGGATAACCCGGATCGATGAGCGCAGTGATTGGGATAAATTTTTTTTTCTATCGATCTCTTAACGTCCCGAGTAATTTTTGCCGTTACACTCGCGGAACTTTGAAACTTGAGAATTTCCTATAAACTCCTTGCCAATGTACGTTCCGATAAAGTTCCTCGGCATCATGGTGGCTCGTCACAGTCCCCCAACGTTATCACTTTCAGAAACTCGGTAAGGCTGGCCATCAGAAAAATAATGTACGCTCCGTCGAAGCAGGGCGAACAACCCTCCGTCGAAGTTAGCAAGGAATTCATGATGTCACCGAACAAGCTCCACCTCGAAGCATCCCTCGACAAGGAGCTTTATCATCACGGGGAGAATATAGCCGTAAACGTGCACATAGCGAACAACAGTAACAGGACAGTTAAAAAGATAAAGGTGTCCGTTCGTCAGTTTGCCGATATATGTCTCTTTTCGACGGCGCAATACAAGTGCACCGTCGCCGAGGCAGAGAGCGAGTGAGTATCATTCGTTTATTCCGATACCTTATTGTTACTGTTATCGGACTTATTCGCCATATACAATATCGGGCAGTCTCGTTCGGATCGGAATGTAAATTTGGCAAATTTTTTAAATCCGATCGCTCCCACGTCACGGGCCAGTCGTCCAGATCTATTATTATCGTAGGGGATCGACGGTAGTACGGTAGACGATCGGGGTAAGACGCGTCGTTAAATCGTCGTAAAGGATCGGGAAACCGGAGTCTCTTCGCGCTGTGAAAATAAACTCGGGTCGACGACTTCGTGGACTCGCCGATCGTAATTATTTCCGAGATTCCTTTGTTTTTTTTTTTTCACCTCCACACGGACATACGTTACCTCGAAGCGATTATATCTGCGCGAGCGAGTACGCGAATAGTGGATGGGAGTAAAGAGTGTCGAAGGAAAAAACAAAGGGTAAAAAATACAGGAAATTGGGATTCACTTGGAGAGTTCCCGAAACAGGGCGTGCCTTACGCGTCCTGGAAGTGGCGTGACTGGTCGCGCTTAATTCAATTTGAGGTAATGTAAAATTTTACAGTCGTTTCAAGAACGCCGCGTTACTATTAATAGGGCTCGTGGAGTAAAGTGTAAATTATATTTTCGCATATCGCCATTTACCTTCGTACTGTTCGTGCCGCGTAAAGAGATTGCTGATAGACTTGCAGCACACGGTGGAAGTAATTAATTGTTTCATCCTCACGTGGTCACGCTTAATATTCATTATTCGTTCCACTTTGGAAAGGAGAAAAATCACGGTTTTACGAGCGAACGTGCGCGCGAAGGAAAAAGGGTTACGAGAAGAACCCTGGAAGTGGCATGTGAATACGGAAGTAAATGTGGGCTCGTTCGAGTCAAAGATTTATTTATTTATACTCGCAGTGATCGAATGTAACGGGTGGTTAAAATTCATACATCGGCCTCCCACTTCTTTTTAATCTGTCACCGTTTGAACGTCGATACTGTTTTTTTTTTTTTTTTTTTTGTGATAATTATGTAATGTAACATTTAAAAAATCATCTAGAGCTAACGAAACATCAGTTACGAATTAGCGAAAGGAAAATAAGATTATTGCACTGGCAGTATAGGGGTAGCGCCGGGATTCACCCTGAGCAAGGTCTTTTCTCTAAGGCCGACGCTTGCCGACAACAAGGACAAGCGGGGCCTTGCTCTAGATGGCCAACTTAAGCACGAGGACACCAATCTCGCATCTAGCACCATGTGAGCGCTCAGATATTTTGGGCACGGAATGTTGGACTTGATAGGTAAAGAGATGAAAGATCGAATTTGACAGAGAGAGACACCGAGGGTATTTATTATACGATTTTTCATAAATGGTGTAAACTGAGCCACGGTGAAATTTATGTTTATTTAATTGATGGTTCGCGAAAAATATTTGATCTAGAATTTGTATCGCCGATTCGATCATTGATCTCTGGACCGTGGAAAAGAAAAAGAGGAGATACCTTTGGTGAATGGAATGCCAGTTATTTTATTAAATGGTGTGTGCTGGGAATTTTTTTCCGGGTTTTATGGTGAACCTCGTCTCACCACGTGATGGCTATAGTGCTCGGTCGGTGATGGTATTTTTTAAGGTCCCTTAAACAATGATTCCTATGTACACTGTTATACTGTATAAATATTAGCATATTAATGTATACAACCAGACGGGTGATTTCGTTATTACGTAAAAACAGCTTATCAATATCTCATTGTCAATACGTATCTAATATGTGATAAGGACCGTTCATTGCTATATTATACGCAAATATTCCCATTTATCCCACGAATCCAAGCGTTTACGTAGCTTTTATTCTGCACTGTGTGGCACAAGACTAATATCCGTCCAGGTACTCGGAGTCGACACGGTTGATGTTCCCTGGCTTAAAAGGCTGTTATAATTCTCTTCGTAGGAATCCTTGATACAAGTATTATCCACCTATTCCTTGTACCGTATCTCTTGTACCCGCATCCGGAATTCGATTGGACAGACGCATATACCTATAGGATCGTATACGAGCCATTGTTATACGCTTACCTTCCGTAACGAGCGACTCGACCGAATTTGTAACAATACCTTTCATTGCCATACTTATTTTACTTTACAATACTCAATACAATATCCTCCCCGTCGTGCGCGCGCGAAAATAACCAATTGGCGAAATTTTTCGCGCACGAGCGATCGCTTAACGTTTCGTTCAAATGGACGATCGGTGCGCTGGAGTGCGTTCCATTATTCGAATGATCGGATGAAAAATTTTATCGTAATAATGACAATCTTTTATTATTGTTAAAATTCTCTTTTGTACTTCGCGGTCCCGCGGGGATCCCACTGCCGGTATGTTGACGCACGGGGAAATCGATTGTTTCGAAACAATTGGATTCGCCTGGTTACGGCGGTGTCGTAGGTGGATAAATCCCGGTTACGAAAATTAGTGTACACTGGGACGCTCTGTGGTGACTGTACATATTACGGCCTTACTTATGCTAATGTTTGTCAGGGAGGGATGCCCAGTGGGGCCAGGTTTCACGCTGAGCAAAGTGTTTTGGCTGACACCGCTTCTCGCCAACAACAAAGATAAATGGGGGCTTGCCCTCGACGGCCAGCTCAAACACGAGGACACCAATTTGGCGTCCAGCACGCTGTAAGACCAATTAATACATCCAGATACGTTATGTTGCGGCATTTGCAATTACCATGATACAAATTTTTCCATTGATCGTGCAACGGGATATTCAGAGGATTACGGTTGTCATTTATTGAAATTTTTATTTTGGTTTTTTACAAATTTTTATTTGTCAACTGTATCTTGTGTGCAGTTCGTTTGTGGCACTCTTTCTTATAGCACGTGGCAATAAAAATTTTTATCTTTAAGAGCGCCACGTTTTTTAATTATTGTAACGTGCTTTTATTTTTTAAGTTTAAATTGCCCGATGACGTATCTTAACGATTAATCGAATTTAGCTAAGGACCTTTAGTCGAGTTTATGAGCGTCGTTAAATGCATTTCTAATTCGATTAAGTATGTTTAATCGGATCCTGGAATTTTTTAGGCAGTTTTTATCGTTTTTTACTATAGACAGTTTCTTAGTATGTACACGTGAATATCCTTTGTGTATCCCGTTTTTTTTTTTGGAATGGAGCCGTAATCCTGACGGATATCCTGAATTAATGAAGAAATATGTCAGTGTATATCACAAATGTTTCATACACGTTTCTCTTCTGTCTTTCACTTTGTCTACCTATTGGCTGATACTTTTCGTATAACGGAAGAGCATTCGAAGGTGTGTATATGGGAAGCCCCGTGGATTAGGATTGTTGTCAAGTAATTGGCGAAATGGGCTAGGCCTTCGGAGAGGGGCGAAATTGCACGGGTAGATAGGGATAAGTAGGACGAGGAAGAGAAAAGAAGAAAAGATTTTCACGAGGCAAATTTTACCTTTTCTCCGATCCGAACAAAATAGCCAACCAAAAAGTTGTGCCGTTAGAATCCTGATTGGTTCCCAATGCACGGGACGCCCATATCGCACCAAAAAAAGCTGCATCGTCTCGTTTCACACGACACGTTAACAAAATCATTTTTTTTTCTTTCCTCATATTTAATTATCCGTTAGAACGATATATAGGGTGGGGCATTTATCAGGTCGATTTTTTCAAAAACGAAGCGAGATACAGAAAAATGTTTCAGACAGAAGTTGTAGGGTTTCGAGGGGCACGGAATATTTCGTTACTGAATTTCTTCCTGAGTACACACGTTGAGGTAATCCGAAGGTCAACTTTCATTTTTTTAATGGGATCGTGCAATTTTTCGTCCGGAAGTCGAAAGAGGATTCAATTTTTAGTATAAAAGTACAAGTACGCTAATGACCCAAAATTGACGGGTGATAAGATATTTTAAAAATATGAAAAAATATCCGTTCTCCACATTACCTGGGATCTGCTGTCTACTGTCTTCTTCCTCTCATCCCCCCCCCCCCCCTCCCAAAA